AAATAAACTGAAATTCAATTGAATTGAATTAGTTGCTCAATTTGTAATTGCATTTTAATAAGGTTACCTTTTTATTCCACATTTTCTCCTCCTTCTCCTTCAAATTATCCGTTCTTATTCTTCTTCTTCTTCTTCTTCTTCTTCTTCTTCTTCTTCTTATTCTTCTTGACTTAAACTTAGTTCAACAACGCTTCGACACGTCGACGTCCTAAGACCCTCCGTCGATTAAGTGTAACGATATTCAGGTGCACTGAAGCATTCAACTTCCAACGCCATTTAAATCGAAAATCGAAAGGAAATGACACTATTATTCTCTTTTAGCTTCTTCAAACTCAATGAATCCGTSTCAACCGAAATTTCTGTTCTCCTTCGAATAGCATGCCTCTTGGATGAATTCTTATTTTCTGTCGCGAAAGAGAAGCTTGTTTTGTTCGATTAGAAGTYACAGAGATGGTTCTAAATACTAATACAATCTCCACTGCTACACGATAATTTTAAAGATCTTTTTAACTAATTTGCATATTGCATATCTCGAGACGGAAAGACATATCGACAAAAGGCTGACGCTATTTTTCTTCAATATTCTCGTACGCGTTACAAACCGGAATTCTCGAGGGTTCCAGCTCGAGGGTTCATATCTATTGTAAACTTCAGAATAAAAGTAAAAGAAATAAAAAATAGCTTTTGGACTTGTGTTGGAGCATGCGCAGTACGCCTTGTACCATTTTCGTAGACCAACGTCATTATGCATATATTATTCAAAGGTCGAAACATGCATAATGACGATACTAATGCGGATAATAATAATGACATGGACACAACTGATCGTGAGTACAGTAATGATTATCCCCAAACAGACTTAAGAATAAAAGTAGCCGTCAATATTTCAGGGTATTGTCGTCGTAATTAGTTTATAATATAATACATTATATGACACAATATATAGTCTATGACTATTCCATGATGCACATTGGCCATAGAAAACAATCCATTACACGACACACAATACTTACCTCCCCTCCATGCCGAGCTCCATGATATAGCTTCTAGTTTGTAATGTTCTGTAAGCGCCATAGTTGACCTGATACTGATTGACTCTAAACTGACATTCTTCCTAACAAATAACTTTTGCTGTTTGCTTCGGTTCGAAGAATAGAAGCAAAATATTGTTTTCACGGTTCGCCTAATATGGAGAGTGGTTGCCATGGAGATAATGACGCAACGAACGGCAAAAGGCGGGCTTTCGCAGGCGAAGGGTTTCATTCTAGCCTGACTGCA